ATATATCAGTATCAAAAAAACCCCCTACCAAAATCCTGGCTATGGGCTTGCATTCCACAATTTATGTAAAAATGGAAAACAGAAATTTATGGAGAACAGTCAAAAAACTTTGCTCATCATTAACCGGGTGTGCCCGATAACGAAAGAGACAAGGTAAAGTGCCAATTTTTTTACTCAATTCACCAAAAATAAAAAGAATCAAAAGGTAATTTAAGTTCCATTTTCGGGAATCCAGAGGTATAAAATACTGAAATTTTCGCGCTGACGTCGTGTGGACTATCATTTCATCAGCACCCCTTCCCTAAATCCTGGATACGCCACTCTCGCTGAAAACAATAGTTGAGCTAAATATATTTTCATATTCGTTTTGTTGTTCATGTGAATGTCTGATAGGTTATTACTTTAAAACAATGCTAAAAACATAGTATCAATGCCAACATAGACACATGTACGACTGAGTTGAGCGACTCCAAATTAGTGGTTACGCAACGTTTGTCATGCACTGTATCATGCGCTATAGAAATAAAGACCATAATGTAATGGGAATGTACCTCTCTGGTAGGGCCTACAGTACAATCAGTGGAAAAGTGTAAGATATAGGCTGGTGAGGATTTAAACAATGTCTTAATGGTAATGTTCAAAATAAGTGTCAAGGAAAGTAATTATGATTGTTAAATAAATGGTCAACATTTTATTTTTATATCTCACCCTGACCTTCTCCTGGGTGAAGGTCTGCATCCGCGCCTGATGTGAAACCAATCTTTCAGTTTTCCCCACTCATTTCAATACCCCTCAATAGGGGTCCAGGGAAGAAGTCCAAGGAAACACAATTTAAGGATTTGAAACGCTTATTTCTTTGAATTTTTGAGTCTCACATTCAGTAAAAATTTCAATTACATACATTTGCTCTCTGACGAATTGTTTTTTTTTCTCCCAGATGGTGGAAAGGGTGGGTGGGGGGATGCTACCACATATCCCCTCTGGGGGCACTGTTCCACTTATTCTGCTATTAGATTTAATTAATACGGATTTATTATCATTTTTAAATGCAATACTGCACAATTAAAGAAAATTAAACACTGTAATTCAGTAAATCATCTGGTCTATTTTTCTCATGACTTACAGTGGCGGATTCAAAGGAGTCGAGCCAGCATGCACCCATCCCCGACACCAAAATTATGGAGAAAAAGGGAAATTATAATCAAATTTAGGTCTGAGTGTGCCATTTTCGGTCATCTAAGGTGTCATAACCATAAAATTTCTTACCTCATCCCCAACCATAGACTACACCCTCCATCTGTGAAAGTATCTCCCTGGGCCCTCTCTATTTCGAATTCCTGGGTCCGCCACTAACACAAGTAAAGGAGGAACATGTGGAAAATTTGTGCCTAAACTTTATGAATGAGTATAAATAATAATAAACGGTTTCGCTAAGCCCAACACCTTGGTTACTGTTGCTAAGCAGGGGCGGATTTAGAGGGGGCCCCCTTAACAGGCTTTAGCCCCCCCCCCCCTAAAATTTCATAGCCATTTCTTTTTAACTGCCTTTTGAAGGTCCAAATTAAAATATTGTTTAATGTTTTCTTCACACACATCATATTTATGGGCTAAACATTTTACAGTAGTAGTTTTTCAGTGATAAAATCAAAATGAAATACGTTTTTTCACCGATCAGCGGACAAAAAGCGTAGCTAAGAAAGCTGCTTTTGCCTAATTTCCAAAGTGGGGGGGGGGACATGGTATCCATTATCTTTCCCCCCCCCCATTTTTCACCCATCTTCTTTAATTAAAACCCTACTTTTACAAGCGAATGGAAAGAATAACAATTACGCATGACTCATGAATTTTGTCTGTTCACTTTCTAAGTACGGTACGTATTTTCCGGACCAAAAACCAAGTAAAAACGCAATTGTTTAAACATTTTGTAACCATCTCAGAAACCCACTAGATCGATTTTATGGGTGCAACGACTATCAGAGGCTAAATTTATTGTGAAAACAATGTACTGAACGTTGTTGAAATTGGAGGTATGTATCCTTATTAGGCAAATATTTTTACAAACTCAAAAGTGCACAATTTAAAAAATATAAACGATTTATTCTTTTTGTATATTATTATGACCCGTACGTATATACTAGTGTTTAATATTATCTACATACATAGGATTACTGTTTTTTCTAATTTCACGGATATGATGTCTACCTATTTCGATTAAGTGATAAGCCTACCAAAAGTTTACAAACTCCAGTGTTACGTTGACGCAGTCTCGCAATGACGCCATAATAATCAGTGGCAGATTCAAGTGGGGCCGAGCCGGCCCTAACTTTTTTCAAAATTTTTTTTTTTTAAACGGAAAAAAAGAAAGGAAAATTAGAATTAAAATTTAGGTCTGAGAGTGCTATTTCCGGCAATCTAGGGTGTCATAATCATAAATTTTCTTACCTCAGCCCCAACCATGGTGGGGCTGAGGTGGTAGTCCAGCTACACTCTCCATCTGTAAAAGTCC